GAGGGGCAGCGAGGGTTATCAGAGACGTGACACAGGAACGAACCCGGGTTCCCCGAAGCGCCGCCGGTCGTGAGGGAAGGCGCCAGGCGGGAAGACCCCCCACCCGGTGCCGGTGCCCGGCGGGGCCGGCCCGCTCTGTGGGGCCCAGCGAGCGGCTGCCTCCCCCCGCCCCAAGTCTTCGTCCTGTTTTTAAAAAAACAGCGTTTTTAAAAATAGTTTTTCGTTATTAAAGGCTGCTGATCAGTTCTGGTGTTCCTGGGTTCATTCAGGGTACGTGCTTCCAGCCCGCATGAATCTGGGGACCGATAATTACACGAACGCCCCATGTCCGAACACGCCGCTCCCAGTTCGAAGACACCAACGCAGATGCCACACGGCGACGGTCGTTTTTCCCTTCCACCACCTTTTCCAGCCCAAGCCCCCTCGCTCCCCGGCTTCCAGCTAACGCCCGGACCCTCCGCCGTCGGGCCAGAGCCGGGCCCCCGCGGCGGGAGGGCTCCCGCAGCCGCAGCTTTCCAACCCCACATCCATCGCCATCGCCACCACGGCCTCACGCTTCTCAGCCCCCACGTACCGCAGGGCAACGGGCTGCCAAGGGACCGAGGCCACCCGCGGTTGGGGAAAAAAGCTGGGATGGCGGGGCGGGAGGCGGTCGAAGCTCCGGTGTAAGACATCTTCATCTAAGAGGCACGGCGGCGAAAACCAAGCCCAGACCCAGACCTGGCTGAACAAAGCCAGGGTCATCTCCAGGCCTCCCCTTGCCCTACCAGACAGCTGCCCCCGTACAAAAGTCTCACAAAAATCGCTCTGTCACCATCTAGAGGCCCAAAGGGTATTAAGTATTTATTATAATTTCTTTCTAGATGGTTTCTCTACATAGCTGTATTAACATATACTAACACAGTTATCTTATATACAGTGTTTAATCAAGTTACAAAAGTGACATTCTTTCAAAAGGTGCAAAGTTATTCATGTTTTGACACGTAAACTACTGAGGCGAGATCTGCATCGAAAATAAAACTTTTTCACTTTCAGAGCATTAGGAGTCCCATGGCTAGCCAAGCATAGATGTGTCGGCAGTGAGGGGAAAGTATTTTGTAAGTGTCGTCAATGAAGAACAATAAATTAGAAGAATGGATTTGGAACTTAATCTGAAATTCTACTAAAAACTTTACACTAAAGGAAGGGGAGAAGGGGGTAAAGACATAACTAATGAAGTGTTCTTACTTTAGAAACCTTCCCCGTTTCTTTTTAAATCCCACGAAGATTCTGTACTGAAGTTTGGATTAAACACGTTGTTACAATTTTTTCATGCTTTCACAAAATGACAAGGCTTTAGGTCTTTGAATTTAAATCATAACTTAGACGAGAGGGATGCTAACCTGTACACTTCCTTCTTATAAATAGAATATTTCTTTAGCAATTACTCCACAGTTTTTCCATTCAGGCAATTTCTATCTATATGTATTGTTTTGAAAACACTACTCCAGCATTAAACATGGTATTTAGTTTAAGCAAGTTTTAAACTCCCATGAGCTGTTAAACTGGCTTAATACACAAATCCTTTCAATCCTCACCTAACAAAAGGTTCCCTATGCTGCTTGCAGCAAGTTTGGGAAGGGGGTTACAGTGCCCAGCACGGTCACCGAAGTCCAGTTTTTTATAAAAAGTATCTTTATGCTGTCCCATATGGATCAGCAATGTCTTTTTAAGTCAGGTGTCCGTGCACTTACGAGGAACAAACACAACCCTACTTATTGTCTGCACCGTATTACCAACTCTAGCTCGTGAGTCCTAAAGACTTGCAATCAGCACAAAGTACCATATCTGGCAACAGAAAAATGTTGCCACGAGCACATTTCAGATTAGGCTTTTACTTACTGCCTTGAAGTTTTACAGCTTCTCGTATTTTTCCAATGAAGACAACAACTAAATTTCCCCCAAATTTAAAGTTAATCCACTCATCAGATGCATGATTTGATACAAAAGTGTTTCTCCATGAGTATGTTCATTTTCTTTTGCTTTTTAATCCTGTGGCCAGGAGAGAAGCCCTTCAAAAACCTACTCTTTGGATGAAACCACAGATGTGTTTGGACATCAGTCATTCCAGTTCTTCCACAAATTCCTCAAGTTACTGGTGCTTAACACCAGCAATTTCTGAATTACTGTAAACTTCATAGCAGTGTAGCCGCTCTCCGTTTGTGCCTGGTTACTCAATTAAAAACTTTCATAAAAGAAGCAACATCAGGGTTAGTTTTAATTACAGGACCTAATTTTTCAAGCCTCTCTCCCCCTTTACCCCCCCCCGAAGTGTACCACTTGAAAGAAAATGAATGCATCAATTCAGTAATTGATTATTTCCAGTATTATAGGGCTTTGATGGTTTGATATGGAACAAAAAAATCCCACTTTTTGACATCACATGCTCACAGAAAACTTGTAATAGGTATAACTCTGCCAAAGCTTTAAGTTGATTCTGCTTTTTCACAACATACAAAACAGACATGACCTAATAATGAAAAACATGCAAACCAAAACTTCCCCAAAATATGAACCTGTGTGGATATACATACCAAAGTGCTTCCAAATAAAAGTTTAGTCTAGAAGCATACATAGTGCCAAAGCTGCCGAAGGTAGTGCAGAAGATTTAAGCCTCCAAGTGGTAGCAAGCAATATATTTTACATTGTAACCACCTCTACATTCCTGCAATTGCTTCCGAAGCTTCTCCTATTTTAAGAACAGCATTTGACTTCAGAAAAAGCACACTGTTTAATGCACCCTTCCCTTCTCCTAACGTATGCTTTATGTAATTTTATCACAGGTATACAGTTTAATGCTCACAGTGTCCAGAAGTTGTGAAGACTCTAACAGACAACTACAGTTTGAGAAGCTCAGGTTGGTTTTTGTTTCCCCGAGTCTCTCCATTATTGAATCGTATTGAGAGAGAGGGGCCAGGAGCTCCAGTCCCCACGTAGTGCTACATACCGTATGGAAATTCACATGCATCTCTTCACGGGGAGTATCGACAGTACTAGATTTGATCCTGTTGGTACCATATTAGCTTTTCATCCCTGCTCCGAGTTCCAAAAACTTCAGATTCTTCACTATTGTACTAAGTAACAAGGATATTATCTCTATTTTATTTAAGTTACGTAGTTTTCAAGGATGTTATGTGCTCTACCGGATACAGCGTATCTTCCTGACAAAGAAACTAGGGGGAAAAAAATGAAGAACCAAAGGTCCCTTTGATAATTAGTGAAAACATGATGATTTCAGGTGCAGCTTTATGGAAAGAATGCAACAGTATTTAAATATTTGGCAATCCAACGTTAGTGATAATTAAATCCTTGATTGTTGACCGATAGAATTTTTGTTAAAATTTACTTAGAAAAGCTGGTTTTTGCTATCAACATAACCAGAGTAACTGGCTTGGAATGAAATCTAGTAACTAGATGTCCAGATGAGATGAGCAATTGGTTCTGTAATTTCAGTATATGTCTGGACAGTCTGAGAAATTTCTATCAAAATAGCCACCTGAGTACAGCCAATCTGAAGTCCCAGTGTATGGGTTAGTGCCTTGATGAAACCATCTGGAAAAAAAAAAAAAAGGAAAGAAACAGTAAAAGAAAAAAGCAGAGTGAGCAGTTATTAATAGGGGAAAAAACCCAACTTTGCTTCTTTCACAAAACATTGTAAAAATACACTGGTATTTCTTATCAGAAAAAAATCACCTTGTAAAGCATCTTTTAACATTTTTTTTTTTACATAAAGTCAAGGAGTATGAAATGGATTTTAAAATTGCTGTCCTATTCCAACTAACATTGATACTCTAGATTATATATTGATTACATATATTAATTTTTACTTCAAAAGAATGCCAAATCAGTTACACAATCCTTTTTGTAAACCTGTGCAAACAGAAAACAGTTTTGTTCTATGGAGCCGTACTTTGCACAGAACATTAACAGATGCTCACTTTTTAGCCACGTTGACTGAAAACAATTTCATGTTCTCTGGAAGAGATTTTCAAAGGCATTAACTGGAATTAGTCTGCAGCTGCTCCTCCAGGCTTTGGGAAGAGAGATGCTTTCTCTTCTGAATTTCATGAAATCACAGGAGCATCCCAAAGTTCTTGCCTTTGAAGGAAGCACCTGCAGTAACTGGCCGTGAGCATACACTTGACTGCATAGCATTGGCATCTGTGAAAAGCAACCAGCAGGAGCAGGAGCCAAACCACACATTACTCCGTGATGCATTCTATGACTGAGAAGTCACTTGAATATGCAATCAAAAAAGCAATTTCTGAAGTATTCAAGCCAAGAAGTCCTAAGAGTGTGAAAAGAAAAGGCCCTAGAGGGCCGCAATGTCTTACTGAACTGCCAAAAGCTGGACAGGAATTGGTTGAAAGAGAGGCGAGACTTAACATTTTAGTCATTCTAACAAAAAATATGACCTTTGTAGGTTTTAAAAAACAAAACCAAAAAAATCCAGCATTACCACAGTGGTTAATTACGACAGGTTTCAGCATTTATTATTAGATAATTTCTCCGGGACAAAGTAATCAGCAATTTTGGCTTCCAGCTACATTACTTGTTGACCCAGCAAATGCTTTAAGTGACACTACAAATTGTACTGTCACGCAGGAAATCAAACACAAAATCAAATGCTGTCTTGAATAAAAACATTTCAAGCAGTATACCAAACCATTCCAAGCATTAAACAAACGCCCAGCTTCCTTCCCCCTTACCGTGTGTGCCACTCCACTTCATCTTTTGCACGCTCCTTGCGAGCAGCTCTTTGTTTCTCTTCTAGTCTCTCTTTTTCTTTGCTAGCCACATCTAACAAACATTTCAAGAGAAATTGGTTACTTAGCAAAATAGAGACAAAAATGCAGAAAACAGAAAAGACTGCAGAGAAATGAAATATAGTTCATTTAAGCAAGAGAAAGCATTTGCTGTACACAATCCCACTGAACAATGAAAATCTCAGGCAACAAAACCCTGTCATTTCAGAAAAGTTGCTACTACAAACACAGAGTCAAAACTGAAATTTTGGTGTTTTATCTATCAGAAACACTGCACCAAGACAGCAGGAAAGAACTTAGATTAGGCATAATAGAGAGAGTGATTTTTTCACTATTTGGCCATGTGTTTTTTCCTGACAAACACCAGAGCAACAGAGCATGTCTGTTCACCACATGTCTTTCCAGACAAACTCCAGAGCAAGAGAGCATGTCTGCCAGTTCCCCCCAGGTTAACAAACATGCAAATACACCGTAACATAGGATAGCAGTCTTGGGATCCACCTCAGACACATTTGCTCTCCCAGACTTTTCTGGGGGAAAACAAACATCATACATTGTTCAAAAGCATGTTCATTAACACAGGATGAAAAAGAGTTAAGGCTGCTCTGGGAATGAGAAACTGAAGACCATGTTCCTGTATCAACCAACCTCCCTTCAGTCACCCCCTCTCAAAACTTCTGAATGTGAAAGTACTTCCTCCAGCAAACACATACCCATGTTTCCGTTTTCCATATTTCTGATATCTGGACGTAGCCGACAGTCAGTGGGAGCTAATATTGCTTCCATGCCCTTTTCTAGCTCATTGAGACTCACAGCAAAACTGGTGAAATTGTACATCTTAAAAGCAAATTAAAGATAACATACAAGTTATTTTGGCAAAGTGGCACTGGGTTCCCTGTACCGAATGGATACAACGGAACTTCCAAGAGAAATTACCAAGTCAAACCTTCTCCCATTGGCTACCCTGAAAGCAAGGTTAGGTTCATACAAAACTAGGTTTTTCATTGGAGGGGAGTGACAAAGAAGGGCAGAAGTGGATGGAAGTCCCACCTTTCATTTCTTAAGCAGTCTTTGCTTCAGAGTATCAAGACAGATTTTCCTCTATATCTGATATTTAACATCATGATTTTTATGAAAAAAACACCCAAGTCTAAAAGACCAAAAAGTCTTGTTGAAACTACTGAAGTTCATATCCAGCTTCCCAGTTACTGCATTTTTTGGAAGCCTGCCTCCTAACAGCAGGGTCAGAAGGGAAAGTGTATCTGTATTTTAGCCACTCTAAGTGCAAAGATCTCACAGGCAGGTTAACCTAAGACGCCAGACTCACACTGAAGCAGCTGCAGTCAGAGCATGCATTCTTTCTACCAGCTTCAACACAGCAGTGATGCTTTCAGCACAGGAACAAAGCAGAGACCTTGCTGTAGTATACTTTTACTGCTGCAGCAAGAACTGCCAGAGCCTGTCAATACACATGCTAAGGGCAGATGCTTCAACAAGGTTTCCCTTGAACATTACTCATGTTCCCTTGGGTAAGCCACTAGTGATAGCAATACACAGACTGATTGAAACAGTTACCTGTGATGAGTTTGGTGGCCTACAATTTATTCTCCAAAGCAATTTACTGCCTGGTATGAACTGCACCGTGTCTTGAACCTCTGGCATATCATCAGCCTCATCATTTTCAGATTTAATAACTTCTTCACTCTGAAACAGAGATAATATTTGGCAGAGGAACAAAGGGAAATTGGACTGTTTCATCTAGAGTTCTACAGTGACTGTTGAAGAATTTGTTCAAATTTGAGATACTAAACACTCTCCTGTACTTCTGCCTCACCCCTCATTCACTTTTCCTCACTCTGTATACTGTTCCTCTCATTTTTATCGTGTCTTGCTGCTGATATCTCTGAACAGTCTCCCACCACCTATGTACAACTTGAATGTCTGTTTAAAAAAAAACATTAATAATAGTAAATTAATGTCTTTGGGAAATCTTTTCTCTAGCCTCCCTTCTATCCCGTGCCATAGCTTTATTTCACCTAACATGACTATTACTTCTTCAGGTTGAAATGAGCCAAGACTGCAATTTAAACCAATTCCCATGATGGCCTGAGAAACATAAATAGGGCATGCCTTCTTTTGGATATTGCTTCATCTTTTGCAAAAGATTTGGATGTGCAATTAAAAAAACAGTTTCAGTCTGATTTCCTATGATCTAGATCCTAATAACTATTATCACTGCTAATTTTCTCACTGTGAAGACTGTGTATTGAAGTTTGTAAATACGGTGTCTTTCCTTCCAAGTTCCTTTGTTACCAGATGCACTGCTATAATGCATATATATAATCAAATGCAGTATTCTTCAAGAGGCTGCTCTCAGAATCTGAGAGCATCTGACTGTTGTTGGACACAGACAGCTACATGGTAGAATTTCAGAGGGTTTTACCATGAGAAACTATTTAAAACCACAACAACCGGAAGGGAAATTTGAGGCAGAAACATCCTAGAGTGATAGTAACACAGTTTTCCTCCCTCCCCTCACTCCCACTCCTCTTCTATTTTCTTTCTGCCCCCTCTGACATGCCTCATTTATTTTACTCAAAAATACCCTATTAAGTTAAACAGGGCCTGTTTTATACACTAGAAAAGAGCTCCATATGGTTAAGAGTCTAATTTCAATCACTTGGTTTGAATATGCATTATTTAAACACTCTTTTAGACTACTTTCCATGTCAACATCTGGTTTACTGTTAAGACAGTTCACCATCTAAATATAGATTCAACAGGAAGGAGAGAGAGAGTTGCTTTTCATAAGACGAACAGAACCTTATTATTAAAAAAAAAAGAAGTCAAAATATAAGCCTGTAACATGACAGAATCCAGAGGCAAAAGCAAGGCCTGTTGCTGCTCTAGATTCTTCTAGTGTGAATACTTTTTAAAAAAAAAGTTTGAGCCTCTTAACGCTAAGAGCGATTAGCTTCTGTTTAACTTATCATTTTCATTTTCAATGAACAGCAAGGGTCTGCAAGACCCTGTTGATATCAGGAAACCCAACAGTCCTCTGCTTCACCATACAACATTTTGCATTTTCCATATAACACTGAGGCTTTGGCAGTAACTCACCTGATACTGCTTACGTGTGACAAAAAACCTCTGCATGTTTCCAGACCCCTTTGTTGTCAAGGCTATCTACTTCATGAATTCTGAAAGGCTGCATCACCAAAAAGCATAACCAACTTCAAAACATGTAATTACTTTTTTTTTTTTTTTTTAAGCCCAAATCCTAATATTTTTACATCTGGAGTTGGCAGTAGAGCCACTTTCCTCATTCAAGGAATGGACATCATCAGCTTGGGGGTCAATATTTGATGCATTCTCTAACAAATCTCTGGCATTTCTGTGAGCTCTCTCCAATACCAGCAGCTCACAAAGAAGTCTACACAAGTTAAAAGTGCAATGCCTTTTCATGGGACTAACACTGCCCATCTCTGACCCCCACCAAAAGACAGACTGTTTTAACCCTCCATTCGCTACCACCTGACCATTTCTGTAAAGAAGATGTTTTCCTTTAATTTCTCATATTCCAGTATCTTTTCTCCCTAAAGAATCCTTAACCTTACCGGCTTCAATTTCTTCTGCTCACCACCTCTCTTTTCATTCTTTTTGTAAGTCTCATACGTAGTGGGATCAGTGCACCATAAGCATTCTGTCCACTTGCCATAGATCACGCACAGCTTCTTTCTGCTGCAGAGAAAGCAGAGGAGACTTGGTTTTTGCTTCTTATAAAGCCTTCTAAGCCAAGTCATGCAGATTCTAGTCTATATTAAATACGCAGCTTCCTACTTTGTTGTATTTTATGTTTCTTTGCATACTTCTAAGAAGTCAGTTATTTGATAACGCAAAGAAAAGGTTTCAGTTTATTCCAGTCTTTCTGGCATCCGGTCCTGCAGAACACATCCTCATGACTTAGTCACATGCTTTTGCCACTGTTAAAATGAGTGTGGGTCCAATAAAGCGAATAGTTTACAATATAGAGATTCAGAGTCACGAAACAGGTTTGGGGTTGATTAAAAATTCCTAATTACCATATTTCCGGTTTTGTAAACTGAAGACTGGACTTGTGAGTGTACAACAGTGAAATCAGTTGCGACTACTCTGCATTTTCCCTGGATACCTTTATTTCCAAAGACTAGACTGGAGAGTTTTTCTAATAATGCTTGAAATGATCATCCCAGAATGAAGGGGTTTAACACTGACACAGAGAAGAGAAATGGGTTACGATCTGCATTGCCAGCAACTTTGCAGTCACATCAGTTGTGGTCACTATGCCAGCACTAAAGAAATGCCACAGTGCTCAGAAACGGAGAGGCCAAGAGGCTTTTATCACTTACTTTTTGTCCTGAATGTATCCCTCCACTCTGTGAAGCTCTTTCCCAAACAGTCCACACGGTTTAAAATTAAGGACACATTTATCTCCAGTACTGTATAGGAAATAAGTATTTGATTAAAGAAGCAAGCCCCTAAATACATTAGTAAGTTTACTTTTTTACCTTATTTAGCTTTCCTTCATACAGTTACAGTTAGCTGGGGGGTAGTTATTTATATCATTATTTTTCTTTAACTATGGTTTATTACTTGACCAGGACATTAAAAAAGGCACACATTTCAAAATTCCACAAAAAGGACAAAAAAGAAATCAAAGTGCACATGAAAGACCACTGAAAACATGACCATACTTCTGAGTTTCATGTATTTCTAAAATTTATCAAAAGTATTAGGAATAAAATGGAATGCAGTCTTGCATACTACTTAACCCACACTATTAACACACTGCATTTCAGATTAATACCTATTTACAGCTAAATGCAATGAGAAATAACTTTTACAAACGACCTACGCAGGAAAATCTAGTTAAGGGCATTCAAAAGTTACCTCTAAATTGCATATCAAAAATTCTGAACTAAACATTTTACAAACATAAACCAGCATTGTATTTCAGCATCTTCCTTGCACTGAGATGTAGATGTAAATCATTTCTCCCTGTGAGGCACCAGGCCAAGTTTCTATGTCAAGCACAAAGCATACAGACACCATCATGGGTCTTCTGTGCCAATATAGGAGACAGGATTGTAGATTTGATGCTATGAGAAGTACCAAAACAGCAGCCCTGCTGGATTAAAGCTCCCATTTATTGACAGAGAAACATGTGCAGAAGTAATACAGTTTTCACAAAATTCTCTCCCTCATCATTACAAGAGGTAATTCATTTTATATAAGGTAAAAAGCTTTTATATAGGCAGTTGGCAGAGCAATTGACATGCTCGAAGTTCACGTTATCCTACTCTGCAGTCATTCTTCTGTGCTGTACCCTTAATTTAAGACATTCTCTATTTTCAAAACTAAAGAGGGCCAAATCACAATCAACATGACAGAGGTCCACTGCAAGCCTCCAACGATTATTCCACTTAATGGTTCTGGAGTTAAATTTAATTTCTGTTCTCTGGCAATAAGGCTGAATTTGAACAAGTAACTCACAAATGTAAAATCTTTGTATCCCATAAGCCATCTAGCCCCGTGCCTTTTCATTAATATTACTATGATACTAAGCTCAGTCCAACAAATAGTTTGCATTTGTCAGAAGGGAAAAAAAAAAGAAAGAGACAAGACTTTGGACCTACAAAACAAAGCTTCCTATGTAATTTGACAAAAATCAAAACTCTCTGCTTTGTAACAGAAGTGACCATGCACCAGTCCCTATAAGCCAACCCTCAGTTTCATAATTAGCATTACCTGTGATTTACAATTTCTACCGTTCCATATTGTTCTAACCACAGTTTACCAATAATTACATTATGTACACAACAGGTTGGATTTGTCCATGTGTAAGCTTCATTATGTCTGTAAAGAAAATAGAGAAAGAAATAATTTTCTTGAGTTTGAGATGGAATGTAAGCCCGTTTTCAATTCTGTTCACGGCAGAGCACAATATTTAGCACTCCTATGAACAGCCAGCAGTTAACTTCAAAACAGAAAAGAAACAGACTTTTCTTTATAAGCCAACAATGTGTTGCATCTAAACATTAGTGCAAGTTAATACAGTGATACCGCCTTTATTCTTCTTCCTTCTCACAGAGCTAAAATAGTGAGTTTTACAGTTGCTGTGCTTTTGATTACAAATTCCAGCCCAACATAAACAGCAGGCCAGGAATTAATCTTTTTTGTTTGCACTTTTAAAGTTCTATGTGATAAAATATAATACTTGCTGGAGAACCAGGCTGACAAACTCATGTGTAACAGCATCTTCTATTCAACTACCATGGCACCACTGCAAACTTCTTCCTAAAGCTCACTCTTGTAAACCTCTATCATAATCTAGAGAGTACCTTTTTGTGATTAAAAAAACACTGAATGTAAGTATTTGAGTCTTCTAGCAGAGAGGTTAGTCACTACCTGTTCTGACAAAGGTCGGACATGAAGACACTCCTCCTCAAGGGCTGGTCAGACTAACCCACTTAATTTTCCATTGTACAAACACTGAGTGGTAAAGGCTTTTGAATCTGAAGAGAGTGACACGAGCCAGCAAACTGCATAAGTGGTTTCCACAATCACGCCACAAGTTTCCACATCGGTGTATGAGGCCTGCTCCAGTGTCACTGAAGGCAATTGGGGGGGAGGGGGGCTGTTTTTAGGGTTCTTTTGGCTGGTTAGCACCGGTAGGACATGATAACACTATATTCAAGGTTCGTAAACGTGACATGTAAAAATCCAATTTATTACTCAACTCCATCTTTTTCCCAAAGATTTACTGGGAAGAAGGATAAGTCCTAGAAGTGAAGAAATTTCCACTTAGTTTAATTTTGGTTTTAATGTTTTGTGAAAAACTTTACAAAGATGAGTTAGCAGATTCTAAATCCTTGAAAGACATTATTCTAAAAGTGATCAAAATGTTAAACAACAAGTTTCCTATTATCACTAGCTCAGCAGAGTCAAAGCCATCTATTCTCACTCATCTTTCCATGCTGGTAAAAGAAATGCTGAAGTTACCCAGCTGGCTATCAATCCATCTTACGAAAGCTTGCAAACTCTATTTTAATACAAAAAAATTACAAAAACAAGCAGTGTCCTCTTTGTAACAAATGCCTTGAACTTCTACTTCCAGCAAGTATGGAGAGAACACCCTTATTTAATGTTTCCAACCAGTCTGTCATTTTCCAGCACAGAGAAAAAACAGATCATTGAAGTCTGACTATTTTCCACAGTGACTTGTCTTCAAGCATACTTTAGAACAATGACTACTCTTTCAGTGGGGAAAAAATACCAGAACCCCCCCAAATCCATCCCTCCAGCCTTAGCATACATTTTTATTCATGAACTACTTGACACCAAAAGCTGTATAGCATAAAACAAAACACAAGACACTCATGGCCAGTGCTGATAAACTGAAATACTTACTTGTGCTGGAGAAGTGAGGAAGAAGTGTGTTTTCTGATGTATGTTTTGAAAACTAAGTCATGGTTGACATAAATGCAGTGCTTAACATTGACTTGCAATTTTGCTTCCTAAACAGTTGTTCGCTCAGGCCCTGAGCAGTTCTCACGACTACTCAAACCAACAGAATAGTATGAATCACAACACTGAGAGGCTCAAAATTTTATTTCAACTTCTGCTGCTAACTTGAAGCAATTATTTAAAATAAATGCTTTAATCATTTATATTCCAGTGTAAATCTGTGCCTGTAATTTGATTAGGCAGAGCAAGAACTTTAATAGTCTTCTAAATAAAGGCTCTCTCTCAAGCAACAAACTTAATTTTTGTCATGTCTGCATTCTACACTAACATTCATAGTTCCTTCTACATTCAGAAGAAATTTCCTCTATTTCCATCACCATTTATATCCAAGACCAGTTCATACTTTTATAAGCTTTGGAAGATTAGATGCCAGCAGCTTGAAAATTAAACTATACTTTCAAAAGAAACTACAGGAAAAGTCAATGCTTGATATGGCAGGCAAGTTGACTCTTTATTGAAACCAAATGTCTAGAAAGTTCATAAGACAACATTTCAAAACAACCCCAGAATTAGGCCTGAGGAAAGCTTTTATAAAAGCACCTTTAAGTGTTCAGTTGCAGAATACTTTTTCTGCAACTATTATCTAGTGCATCCTTGTGTCCTACTTGGGAAAGCTCAAGAGTCTTTGTGCCACTAGGGCACAAAACAACTTATGGAAAGTCACGTAATTTACGAGAGACATACGCAATTAGAGACAAGCCTCAGAGTAATCTGGAGAGGCATTCTTGATTTTAACAGGAAGGTGATCATACACAGGAAGTGTTAAACAGGTGACAAGGCAATCCTGACAAGTTTCTCACGTTCCCTTACCACATAGAACAGCTATTCTGAAGATGCAGTTCTTTCCACACAAACATATGCGCACAAACAATCAAAACCAATAACAATATTTAAAAGCAAGATGAGCTTGAATAGCCTGGCAATATAATTTTATCTATTTAAATTTTACATGCCTTCACAAAACAAGCTTTCAGTAGCATTCAACTTTTACGAAACATTAATTTTCATCATGGAAAGACTGGGTCGTACAAGCATGGCATAACTTAAAAAAAACAGAGCCCTGAATTAAGCAGTGAAAATTAACTTGTAAATAAACTCTTACAATCTCTTCAGCAAGAGGTTTATAGATAATAACCTATGAAGAGCCAATAGAATGATTATCACCTATCTTTTTATTCAAGTAAACGTTAAGGAGATCAACATAAAAAAGGTATTTACTTCTCATACTCACTTCAGAAGCTCCAAAGTAATTGTTCCTCGAGGCTCTGCTTCTATACTCTTTCCCCAGAATTTTAGTTTGGGATAGATTGATCCATGAAAAATAAAGTCCTTATTGAGGCCTTCAGAGTAAAATGCACTAATAGGTGGGTGGTGGCTGACTTGCTCAGATATAAACCTAAATCCTAAATCCTCCCTAGCAACAACAAAAAAGAGCATTAAACAGTAAACATTTTTTTTAACATTACAAAAGAAAAGAGTTACTTGATACTTTAAAAAATTTTGAAGGATTTTTAGATTAAACTGAAGGTGAGACTTTTCCTTTTCTAGTCCCATGACACATTTACAATTTATGAAATGAAAGAATTTGTACTCTGAACACTTTCTCTTTATACCCCAAACCAACCCACATTCAAACACCTAAATGACTTTCTGCCCAGAAAGGCATGAGAAGATGTTTCACTGAAATAACTTGTGAAAATGCTGAAACTCTTTGGGCAGCAGCAGAAGGTCTGACTGAAAATTCTTTTCTCCACTGCAGACATATCACCCATTTATTTAAGCAAGCTGGAAGTCCTTCAGACTAACTACTCTATCTGACATGACCAGCAAAACACTATTTATAAATTAATTGTGTCTGGTCAGGAAATGTCTTTGGTGGAAGAACAAGGATGAATTTTTCTCTGAATAACTCAAAGAATACTCTGCCTAAACTTAGAAATAAAATTATTGGCTTTTATAACAACTTCTCAAAGATTTTGAGATAGTTTGGGGAAAAGAATTTTAGCTATACTCAAAAATATATTTTAGTAGATTTTTATTTATTTCACTGAATAAACAACTAAACTAGTATGAGAGTCTGCTAACTCAAGAACACAAATAGCTCCAGCTCCCAAAGTAAAGTAATTATTACCTGGTTAATTCATAGGTTTCTCCTAACAGCGGGTTAAATGGTTTGCCAGTTCTCTCCCACTGAGAAGCTACAGCAGAAACTGCAAAAGCAGCTACAGCCTATAAGCAAATTAAGAACACATTGTTATGAGAACAATACATTAAAACTCTAAGTTTAATATATTGTATTTGTTGCACATTACAGTACTTCATTATTCTTCCAGAAAGAAAGCGCTATATATCGCTTAAGGCCAAAACATTTGTAAGCCATGGGATAAGCGATATAGAAATAGGGAAATACAAGCAGTTAATAAGAATCTCATTTCCAAAAGGAATTATTTTCTGTAGTAAATTTTGTCAGGTTACACTCTGCCCCATGTTTCTCCACCTACCTCTAAGAGTTCAACCTGTTTTTTAAAATCTACTTTTCCCCTATTTTGACTGTCCCCCACACTAAGCTCATTGGGAAGAGAGTCTTGCTTTTCTTAGTGTCAGGCAAGCATTATCTCTAACACAGATGAGATTTCTTGAATCATACCAGCAGGTACAAATGACGCTTAGAAGCTTCTGCAGGCTGGTAAGTAGGGCTATGTACTACACAAACACAGAATACAAGACATATATTCCAGTTTCACTTAAGTAAAAACACAGCTACGAGCAATACCAGTATAACCTAATATACACAGGCCTGGTTTCACCATATTCAGGTCCTTGTTGTGAGACCAGCCGGGTACTATATTCTATTCCCAACAACAACTAGTTTTGGAGAAGAGTGGTAAAGCTTGTCTCCATCACAACAATTTTTCATCCAGTAACTTAAAAATCATGGAGCCACTCAACAAATCAATTTAGGATGACTTAAAGCCAAGATTTCACCTTCACAATGCATAAAACCACAAAAAGAGTCACAGTTAAAGCAGTCCTGGAAAGGATTGAGGTCCTTGGGCATCATCAGTTGTGGCACTCTTCAGCACTACACTTTTGGCTCAAACTCTGTGCACAACATCAAGTGTGAAAGTGTCACAAATATCTAATACAGCCACTATGAAACAAGAAACTTGTCTAGACAGACAAATATGAGCATTCTTATGATAGCCCCAGAGAAAGAAATACAGTCAAGTGAGAAATTGTCTTCAAATGAAAGACTCTAGGAGAGAAAAACATCTTCCGAACTAACCAGAAGGTGGTAGCTGTTACTTACTTGCATTCTTTCCAGGGGGTCTGCATGACTACAAGCCTTATTAATGAGGTATATATGTTCCATATATTCTGTTATCCGTTGAAGAAAACTCAGTGGCTCGTTGAAGACAATAGGCATCGTAATCTTAGACAGCTCCTAGGTAACAAAAGGATAAGTTAATTTCTTCGACATAACACTAAGGTAACAACTGACAACAACAAGAATTTTGAAAATAAGTTGTGGGTTAGTTTATTTCTAGCATTCTTCAAAAGACCTTTGACAATCCTATAGTAGACCTCTAAGTGCTACAGCTGAAAGGGGCTAGAAGCACTACAGAAGCCTACTAGCAATCTGAAAGAATAAACAACTTCAAAAATTGATCCAGCTAACCTTGTAAATTCAAGAAAAGGTTACCTTCTCTTCTGTGGTCTACACAAAACGGAAGCGGTTAAGATTTCCATAGATAGCAGCAATAATGTGCCAACCAGCTCATTACTGATCTTTAAGTACCACGCATTCCTTTGAAATCCTCACATACCTATTTGCGTAAAATCTAACTATTTTACTGCAGTAACCACAAATTATTTTTTGAAAGGAACAGTTACATAAAGAACAGGATTTGAATTGCTCTAACAAATTTCAGTGGCTTTATTCAAGCAACCTGTTATTTGCGTCAGAATGTTTCTCATTTCGCATGTGGATCCAAGACAGACATGAAGTTCACACAGAGATTTCCAATTCCCCAGGTCTTTTACTATAAACAGCCAAATTTGCTTGGATAATTAAAAAGTGGCACTCATGACTGAGCACTACAGCATCATTTGAGTGCTTAGAACTTAGTGGAAAGGAGAATGCCACCAGATGAAGTTAATGAAACATTTTCCTTGCATTATCACAGGCAGTAAGGGAAAAAAAACCAAAAAACATTACCCCTAATTGACTTAAATTGATTTGGTCCAAGCAAAGCATTCTAGTAGATAGGTCACTCATCCTAACAAAAGGAGTTTTGACAGTACAGCTGTGTCTCCTAGATGACATAAGTTAAGCCAGCAGAAGTGCTCACTGACTTGTCTGTTGCATTCACAAAAGACTGTACTGGCAGACCTAGACTGGACATCAATGTAATTACTTAATGCTTCTAAAAAGAGGCTATGGCAGCAAGGTCCTCCAGTGTAGAATATCATTTGCATTCCTAGTAAGAATGAAGTAATCAAACATGTAACTGAATTCTTAAAGGATTAAAAGAAAAGAGCAGTGATGGCCAATAACGATGCAAGCATCGGGGTCCTTTAACAACACAGAGCAATGCAAAGGTCTGTGTCTCTGAGTCCAAGAACAAATCTAGGACCCAATGACATCACACCGTTAATACCCCAAGCCTACACTGGGCTCTCCAAGGAACTCTTAACAGATCCCAAACTTTTCTATCCCTTCAATCAGATGAAAGCAATTTTTTTGGCACAAACTGCTTAAATTATGCAGGAGGGAAACTTACCAGTCCAATGCATTTTTTTAATATGCTCCACACACTAAAATCACTTCTAGAAAACATTGGGGCAGGTAATGATGTCCTGTAATTGGAAAAAAACAACTGTCATTATCAGCCCCTTAAACAACAAGACATTTTCATTTGTAGGTATTGAAGTAATTTATAAAGGAAGCAAAGCATTAACCTTGAGTTGACATAGGAAGCTGACAAGTCTTTTCAGTTCCAGAGAATTAGCCTCTTCCAATGAGAAGAGTAATGCCCCAAAAGATAATGAGCCAGAACGTACTCACTTCTCATTTACTATGCAGTACTTTGTGTTTACCTGTGTCTCTTAATTCCATTTTCTTGAATCTCTGACTCTCCATTATGCTTTCCAGTCCTATTGCTTTGGTGTGGATCTAGATCAAGCATTTCTGCAACTTTATGATTTGCTTCTGAAAAGTCTCCTGAAGAATTGTCAGAATCAAAGCCTGTATAAAAACCATAAGGCAACAGTTTTCTTAGGAACCTTATTACGCCACAGAGTGGCACTCACATTTTGTAACTCTTACAGCATAAGTATACTTATACCAGGTTATTTTATTTTAAAGAATATCAGAGTGAAAACCCTTTATTAAGTGACCTGATTTCCAAGAGTATTTAGAGCCAAGTACTGCATTAGAATCAAGCATTCTCAACTAATTTTTCACACTGCTGAATAGAAAACCATTTTAGAATCTTACAAGTTCTTCAGTAGCTCCTGATTAGATTAGCTGTATTGTCTCTTCTTCAGAGCTGCAACATGATTACAATAATTTTGTTCAGTTATGTAGTTTTCCTCAAAGACCTTAAAAAAAATTTAACTTGGTCTACTTACACTGCTTACAGGCAAGGAGCAAAAAAAAGAGAAAAGGGCCATTTCACAATCCAGCTGCAAACATCCAGACTACTAGAGCAACAGAAATGCCAGATATCTAACTTTTTTGCCATCCATGTGTGCAAACCATATAAAATTCCCCTAATGGTTACAGCAAGAACTTGTGGACACCAAGATGAATCATTCCCTGAGCCTACAAGCAACCCAAAACATGACCTACAACAGTTGGTTCCATTTCCTATGACCCAATTCCATCCACTTGGGTAGATAGCTACCGGAAACACCATTGTAACTAAATGCCAGTGCCCCCAATAACAACATGCTTTGAACAGCTTTAACCATCAAAAAAAGTTAAACCAACAGAAATCTACAGGAACACAAGCTTCTGTAATCAAGGTGCCCTAAGTACAAGTTGGACTAAACCAAAAATCCAAGATTTTAGTCTAATGATTTTACTTTTTTTAAGTCACACTACTTACACGCAAACTAAGAATAACAACAATTTCATTTTTGCATATACCTTTAAATAAGAAAATTGTAAAAAACATTTTACGCATACACACACACTTGGTCACTATCAACAGCAACAGGCCTCTTGTCAATGCTGCTACACAGACTGACTGCAGAAACAAAACAACTGTTAACAACACATAAGGATCGGTTGCAGCGTCAATACTGAGCACCCTAAAACACTGCATTAACACAATCCCTCTTCACAACTGTCACAGTATCACAATAGAAAGCATTGCTGATCATTCAGTGTAATAGAATCATAGAATGGTTTGGGTTGGAAGGGACCTTGAAGATCATTTGGTTCCAACCCCCCTGCCCTGGGCAGGGACACCTTCCACTAGAGCAGGTTGCTCAAAGCCCCATCCAGCCTGGCCTTGAACAATTCCAGGGTTGGGGCAGCCACAGCCTCTCTGGGCAACCTCTTCCAGAGCCTCACCACCCTCACAGTGAAGAACTTCTTCCTCACATCTAGTCTAAATCTACCCTCTTTCAGTTCAAAGCCATTACCCCTTGCCCTATGTCTACATGCCCTTGTAAAAAGTCCCTCTCCAGCTTTCCTGCAGCCCCCTTTGGGTACTGGCAGGCTGCTGGAAGGTCTCCCCGGAGCCTTCTCTTCTCCAGGCTGAACAACCCCAACTCTCTCAGCCTGCCTTCACAGGAGAGGTGCTCCAGCCCTCTGATCATCCTGGTGTGCCTCCTCTGGACTCGCTCCAACAGGTCCATGTCCTTCTCATGGTGGGGGCCCCAGCACTGAATGCAGTACTGCACGTGGGGTCTCACAAGAGCGGAGTAGAGGGAGAGAATCCCCTCCCTCGACCTGCTGGTCACGCTTCTCTTGATGCAGCCCAGGATACGGTTGGCTTTCTGGGCTGCAAGTGCACGCTGCTGGATCATGTTGAGCTTCTCGTCAACCAACAGCCCCAAGTCCTTCTCCTCAGGGCTGCTCTCAATCCACTCATTGCCCAGCCTGTATTTGTGCTTGGGATTGCCCTGACCCATGTGCAGAACCTTGCACTTGGCCTTGCTGAACTTCATGAGGTTCGCACGGGCCCACCTCTCAAGCCTGACAAGGTCCCTCTGGATGGCATCCCTTCCCTCCAGCGTGTCGACCGCACCACACAGCTTGGTGTCGTTGGCAAACTTGCTGAGGGTGCACTCAGTCCCACTGTCCATGTCACTGATAAAGATGCTAAACAGTGCCAGTCCCAATAGTTCCCTGAGGAATGCCACTCATCACTGCTTTCCACTTGGACATCAAGCCGTTGACCGCAACTCTGAGTGCGACCATCCATAAAGGAGTATTTTTGTTGAAAGTAATTCAAAGAGCATGAAGCCCTTTCTTACTGCCACAAGGGTCAATTCTTCATCAAGAACCACAAGACAACTTTAGTTTCCAGCTTCCAATTTTAGAGTCAGAATCCAAAAGCAACATGAAAAAATGTGTATTTGCTGGCATACAATTCTTGCCACAGTTTTAAGGAATACACTAACATCATTTTTGTATTCCTTTCATTCCAGCTATCACAACCTGGGCAACCACTTGTCTATGTGCTGACAGTTACCACCATGCTCAGCTACAGCCTATCTCAAAGTCCAGCTGTAGGTACAGAAAGATTCTGAAATATTACAAAGCATGTAAGCACTCTAAATGGAGTAATCAGTTTTGACAAAGATTATTTCAATTTTAATTAAAGTGTTATGACCCTCTGTCATTAACTTCTTAAAAAGAGAGAGTATCTATCATAAGTAGTACTTCAACTTTTCTTTTTATTAACATCTCCAACAGGGTGTTCTTACTTTATTAGAGTAATTCATGCAAGACACACATTCAGAAACAAAAAAGCTGCATTTTTTTCAGGGATCAAGACCATGACATTAACATCCAAAACTGCACAGGGAAGCATTATTGATATGATCTTATTTGGTAAACAGCAGGTGTAATGGGTGATGTCATGTATTAAACCATCTCCTACATTTTGATGTCACAAGCATGCAATTATACAGCAATAACCACACCTTAGCAGTCTTAGTACTAAATTGGAAAGTATGATAGTCATATACATATTCAGGTCATTAAAATGAAGACTACCCTGAAACACCTGTCTTAAAAAACCACATGCCTATCTTCAGTCAACCCACAACAAAATATTTATAATTTAAAAACAGCATTTCTAATCACATCTTAGCTTTTTTTTGGAACCTGTTACAGTACAAGGAGATGGAAAGGGCAAGTACTGTAGGGCATAACAAAATAACTTTTATTAGTTTGACTGATGAAGTTGGACAAAACAGATGAGGTTTTTGGTACATGTGCCCTCAGCTAGAAAGCTGATCAAGTGCACACAACATAAGGGAAGAGCATCACATTTAATGAGCACTTCAATGAGATAAGCACACCTAAATGTAGAAGTAAAGCTTCATAACAGGAATAGTCAACTGGCTTGTAGGGGAATAGTTATGAAGAATATTACTGGAATTACAGCCTTTACATCATACTTGAAACCTTGCAAATTGTATCAAATGCTCATTGTTTTTATCCACACTAGTCTTTCTGTTTCTCCAATGATTCAGAATTGTTTTACCTTGTTCCTGTACAACACAATGGGAATTTAGATTCAGGTATATATATAATTTATGGACAACAATATGTCATTGGTAAGTAAATAAACGCCAATTCAAACGAGCGTCTCACATACAAACAAGAAACATTAAATCCCTGCCCCAGAAAAATAAGATATATCAGAAGTGTAAAGTCTGCTTTATTAAAGTGCATCTCCACCTAATTAAAAACAAAACAAACAAACCAACCCCAAAAAACCAAACCACTAGGGTACACAGCTAGATAATCACTAGACTTTCAACTATACTTTCAAGTATCAGCTGGCTTGTCTACTACAATCCCACTGAGAAAGTTTTAAAAGCTGTTTCTCAATGAAGTTCCAAGTATTACAGTTCTGTGAAGTACTATTCAGAGAATGTTATTCACAGAGGAAGTACTGATCTGAAATAAGAACAGTTTACTGAAATTATTTGGTTTAGTTTTTCTAATATACAAAAAGAGCCTTTCTCCAGTTGCTATTAAAGCCTTGAATTTGCAAAACTGAGTAGGTAAGTTTTACTTACAGGACAGTTTTTACAGTGAAGAGTCACTGGGAGTGAGGATAAAAATGGGGACTTAAAAGGGGAATAGGGGACCACACACAGAAATAAAATGTCAAAAATTAGCTTAATCAAAAGTTCCAACTTACGTGTGTTAGGGGTGAAACAAAAGCTTTTAAAAAGTCTTAAATTTTCAAAGTCAAACACTTAAGTTGGATGCCAACATTAATCTATTTCAAGAGCTTAAAGAAAAGTGACTTGCCAGTAACTCTAGTTTTCTTAGCCTTCTTCTTCCACATCCTGCAAACGAAACAAGTCCACTCAGACTATGCTATACATCCACCTATGAGGGAGCAGAGGCACACTGTTCTGAGTCATGTACGAAGACACAAGACCGCCCCTTTTGTACAGTGAGCAACTTCCTTAAATACTAATTAAGCCTTGTGCCTCAAGACAGAGAGGGAATCAAAATAGCGTAGTACTGAGAATCTTCAGACCTAAAAAGGGCATAAGGAATAGGGATAAATACACTGGAAGTGTAGATAGCAAGTGAAGCAAGAGGTAATTTTTTTCTTTGCCAGAAGTTACTATTCTCCACTTTTCAAAACAAGTCCATCTTCACAACACATAGCCGTATCACACTGCTCTGACAGGAGGCAGGCTGGCCTTTCACAAGATCTGCAGTACTTAAACATTATGGCAGAATCCGCTGATTGTATTTGATCTAGATATTACGAAAATATATAAATTTGGCAGCAAGTACCTCACTCCCTCATCCCCAAATGAAAGCAATAGTTTACAGTGAACAACAGCTAAGCAACAGGAAATAGAAGGGCAACATCCTCATAAATATACCAGGCTGGATTAACGTCACGGGGACAGAACAGATTTCCACGGAACTGCAGGGTAATATTTAAAAAAGCAAAACTAAACTATTCATGTTTGTCAAAAATAAATTACCATGACAATAAGCCAAGCATTTTCCTGTTCTGTGGCAATCTTTTCACAAAACACTTTGGCAAATGGATATCTGACAGAATTAATGAAGGATACAGTTCTGACAGAGCAGAACCTGATGGCACACAGTCTTTAACAAGTCTGCGATGAGATTAATAAACCCATGGTGACATAGGCTAGACGCAAGTGATCAAAGCTATATGCTCCCCATCTCACATAAAATTTCAAAGAGCCTGAAATTCATCAAAGGATTGACCACTTTACCTGATCCAGTCTCAGAGAAGACTACCTCCTGTATTTGAGAAAAAGCAGGTGCTGGGCTGTGAAGAATTAACTGAGACCACAAGTAACATTCCCAAGAGATTCCCAAGGGAAGTACTCATTCATGAAGTAAGGATGTCAAGCATCCAACTAATCAGCAATGCTAAAAACCTCTGAATGCAAAGAAACTTCTCTCCATGGAAACTCCGTACTGGTCACTAACTCAATTCATCACCTATACAACACAGTCCATCCTGCACATTTACAAGCGTAATCATCATCCAGTCAGGGCCAAATCATCTACCAGGAGGATGATTCCCAGCCATGCAGCATACAATTCCATCACATGAGCATGTCTTTTGGATGTGATGGGGACAGTGTCAGAAGCAGGAAATTTCTCAGCCAGAGATGAAATCCACCACAACAAAAACCAGGGGTCTCCTTAGGATAGATTCATGTTCTAGAAGTGGATGTCATCAATTAATAATACAGAAAAGTTGTGGCTTCCTCAAGGAGTGAACTCATAGTATCTTAAAGGAGGCAGCATACTACTTGGGCTGCTGCTGAGACTGCTGTGGAATTCTACAGTGTAACTTCCCACAGAGTTCAAGTGCTCTGCTAAGCCTGGTTTGCTACTTATAGGACACAAACCACAGTACCCAATTACTAAAATCAGGAAACCTGGGGGAACACATTGCAGCTCCCTCTGGGGAAGCCAGGGCCCAGGACTCTGGGGGAACAAGAGGAGAAGAGTACGGTGTACATGCTGTTTTCATCTCAACATGGAGTTAAGATACAGCTGGAGAATGTGCTTGATCCTGGTAGCCATGTCCCAATCCTAGACTTAGAGCAGAACAAGCATATGTCTAAAGGTGGCTTCTGCCCACCTACTGATCTGACCTAAAGGAAGGAGAGTATCCTTGGAAAGAACAGACCGAGGAGTCTGCCAAGGGCATTTCATTTTTTTTATCAAAATCTGTAACCCCAAATCCTGAAGTTTTCACTGTGGAATCTGAAAGCTCACCTTGGCTCAGAAAGGACCTCAGTTCTGAACTTTAGCTCCTGGGAGTACTGGGTCTACACCTACCATGTCCAGACCATACAAAAACTAAGAGACAGGCAGGCATAATCTGGATCCATTAGAACCCAAAAAATTCAGCAAAGCACCGTCTGAAAGATATACAGTCCATGGTGCTAAAAGGAGCAAAGAGTTGCTACTGCCATCAGGAGTTGGGCAACGTGAATGCAAAAAGACCTATTTACAGTTGTTCTTAGCATCACATTTATGTATTACTTGGACAAGACACAGCTACAAAGAACTACGTCTAGACTTCACTAAGTTTGTGCAAGGAATCCATCAAACTGTCAGCATCTTCTAAAGCACCTAGCTGGAGAAAGAGACTGAGCACCTGTCTTTAAAGACAGTCCCAAGGGAGAAAGAATCTGAACCAAACTATTGCAAACTTAGAACTCCTCTTAAACCAAAAGGGAAAAGAGTTCCAACTTCATTCAGTTCCTGGAGTGGCTGCTGCAGACCAAACACCCTCCATCAGAAGAGGGCTGTGCTGAGAGCCTACAAAGACACACTTTTGCTTAGAAACTTCTCTCCTGGCATCACACTCCTCCCTGTGGAAGAATAAGATTAGGACCGGACAAGGAGTGCTCACAGAACTGATGCGCACCATCCCACTTCTGAGCTGAGCCAGCCAAGACTGCAAGGTACAAGAACATCTCATGCACAATAGCTCAGAAGTCATTACCACCTTGAACACTTGCTGAGACTGAAGAAAGGGGAAAAAGAAGAGGAAAGAGGACAAAACCAGAGTGTTCAAATGCAGATGACTCAAACACTGAGGGCTGTGTATTTCTGCAGCAAGACAAAGGAATGCATCAACATCAAAGCTGTACGACACACACCTCATACTTGGAAGCACATTTCTGTTCACCTTTTTCAGAAGAAAAAAAAAATCTAGTTCATTTATGGCCATGGTCCTGAGCTCTTGGAATTGAAAGATTACTAAAGACATACAGGAACAATCCATTGTGTTTTCAAGATTTTTATGGTACAACGAACTAGCCCCTATCACTCCTAGTTAGCATGAATGCAACCCAAACTTCCTTCTCTGTGACTTAATTGTGACAAGTCCTATACAGCCTGCTGTCAGTCACGTTGCTTCACCCAGCCCCCTCTGTTTACTCCTGATATGAATTTCCAACCAACCATGTCTAAGCCTACCTTCCCCACTTGTACCTACCATCCTATTTCCATTCCTTCAGCTTTCATGCTTCCCATTATTCTCTTTTCATCCCCATGATTCTACACTAAGCATTCTACACTCACCATTGGCAGCACTTCTCATTTCACCTCTATTACAGGATTTCTGAGGAGACATTTAAGTGGAAGGCTTTAAAATTGTTTGAGCTCTTGGAAAGGATTTTTTTTTTTTTATTAAAATACTTTAAGTATTTTATTTCACCACTAAAACCATGTAAGGCTCTTATAAATAACCATTCATCCTTCTTAGTTCAAAGAAAAGTACTATTTGATACACTGCACAAGTGTGAAGTGATTCATATTTGCTTTTCTAGAAACAACACTGGATTGCAAAGACTTTTGGCTCCCTATCTTGAAAGCATACTTTTACAGTAATTTGTTTCTGACTAGAAAAACATTTTCTACTTCAATTCCTCATGCTAAGTTTCCATTAAAATAAAGAAATGAATAAAATAACAATAAAAATAACCCATGGAAGATATTTCACTTTTCAAAGGGTCTTAAAAGCATTACTTCTCAAGCTGCTATTAAATTACCTGCATTTTACAGAAAATTAAAGCAAGACTTGGCCACTAAAAGACTGTTATAGTGATAAAAAGATAGCCAGCGTTAAGCTTTAATAAAACCCACCTCTTTTCCAAGTCTGAACCTGAATTATAATTCTTCCTTTCTTCTTTTCAGAAGACAGCACTACAAGTTTCACAAACAGCGGTTTACTTTATTTATTAACAGCAATATATTACTAGCCCCTCACCACACACAATGCAGTTTACAGCTTTTATTTATTTTCTTGGCACTGTGCCCATCACTTACCCGTAACGGCATCATAAAACTCTTCTTCACTATTCATCCTTCAGTATGAAATCTCTGTACAGCCAATCCAGCTTCCTCTAATGCATCGTTGAACTTGATTTAGAGATTAAGTATCTGTGTGCTGTCGAAGTCGCCTTCTGCAAATACCCAGCTGCTTTAGATGATCTATTTGACAAGACAGGGAACAGAATTAGCAACTTCCACTTTTTTTGTGTGCACAAACATGCACACTTGACAAATACTAATTTTCCTATTTCTTCCTATGGTAAAAGATGGATTTTTGCATTCATAAGCAAACAGCCTTCTTTGATACCAAAGTCATTCTGAAGACAAATACTACCTACAACAAGAACAGCTGATGTACTATGCCACACTTCTCTCTATATAAATACATCATATACATTACTGTAAAATAGATCTTATTTACTGCAAGTTAAATTTCAGGCAAGTACAGCTAGAAGGAGCAGAGAACCAAAGGAAGAAAAAGACAGCTGGCAAAACAAAAATTCTGCTCTTCAGCAAGAGGATCAGCCTTACCACATCCTTAACCCAGAAAGCTGGGAACAGGAAAGAGAACCTTTGTATCTCAAAATCTCACTGTTGCATAAAAATGTTGGACTTCACTGTACATCATGCAATCAGTATCTAGTGACCATTAGAGAAGTTTTGTTAGGCTACTGTGTGAACTCTTGAAGAGACAACTGGAGATTTTTCCCTCTAGAGGAAGAGTGTAAAGAAACAACAAATTTTTTTCTCAGTAAAACCAAGCACACTGCAAATAACTTACAGATTTATGAAGCATTCCAGCTCTACTTCATGGATCAACTAAATCAGACTTTTTCCAGATGGTTGGCAATGGTGTAATGTAAACATTTTTACTTCACCCAATTTTAGTCTAAGGAGAATAATGATAAAATTTTGTTTCCACTCCTACAAATGTTCATCAGGTACCAATGACAAGCCAAGTACACAATGATAAACGACAGCATGGCAATGCTATCAATATCTCCTCCAAAACAACCTCAATCTGTCAGTCTCAATTTTTTATGACCCTTGAAGATCCCACTGCTTTTGTGACAGTAGTTTTTCCAGAGTAATTATAACTTGCACAATACCATTCCAATTAAGAGAAACAAAGCCAGCAGAAGAGCTTGCCATGTTTGAAGCCAATTCCTTCTTCCTCTGCAAGAAATCAAATTGCATGATTCCTCCTGTGTTTCAAGTCTTTTTACCTCACTGCCCAGAACAAAAGCTATTCAGATGTGTCACACACATACAGTCCTTCCAATTCCCCATTCAGAAGGAAGAGCTAAAATAGCCCATTTTGGAACTTATCTAAGTTAATGAATGTGGCGTTCGCCTTGAAGCATTATGTCTGTCAAGGCCAGGTATTTCAGTTTGTCACTTTTCCCTTAGGAACTCCCTACTTCCTTGCCACTATAGGATTTTTATATCCATCTGTGCATCATGGTGAGTATCTGAGCTTCCACATTATATTCAGCAATTTCTTATTCACAAGTCCTCACCTCCACAACGACAAAACTATATACAGCTGCTTCTCTTGACTGTTGCTACAGCACTGTTGCAATTGCTCTCAGCTGGATGGTAATTTCCTTCCCTTTTTCCTGTGCTGTTCTCCAGTCAGAGACCTTTAAACCTCCTTCAGCTTTCTTGCTCATCAGTGACAAGCTTCTGACTTACTTTTGTCAAAATGCTGCATTCTCCCAGGCAAGGATACAAGAGCTCAAAACATTAACAAGTCAGATACATGTATGTCTGAAGACTTCCAGTGCAAGGCTATCAGCAAGTGCTCTGCTTACATAAGAGAAAGGAGCAGCAGCTTCACTTCAAAAAGATACAGGCAGTTCAGGCCACTAGCAACCATGCTGCCTCAGAATCAAAGAAAGGGAGAAATCCTCTTATCTAACAGTTGGTTCAAGAGTAGCAGCTAGCTCAGGTTTCTGGGTGAACTAAATAGCAGAATTGATAACATTGTTCTAAATCTGTACTGTAAGTTCAAGTCAGTGTACCTATCCCTGTGTTATCTTGCCTAGTAGGAGCCAGTCCTTGACTCTGTAATAAAAAAAAAAAAAGCTTGTTCATACCAAAGCTGCTGTCAGTCTTAAGAGTTTCTACAAACTTTCCAGCCCCACCAGCAATATATCTGGAAGCATCTCTTCCAAGGTCTCCAAATATGTCATATCTTTGCAGAGAATCTGTCCTTGAGGATGCTACTATGTAAACCTTTCAATTGAGGCAGAAAGAAGGAATCCAAAGAAAACTATTGTTACAGGAAACAGGAACTCGACATCTCATGACAACTGTTCACCCCAGACACCATTATCACCACGCTGGAATGACTCCACTAGTTTGCCAAAAAAGAAGTTGCATTAGAGGGCTTCTTTAACCCTCCAAGGTACTGTATCCTTGAAGATGCAAGACATTTATGCCTTCAATTGTCTGCAAGTATTGCATCCTTCTTGCAAAACAGCAGCCAGTATTTCCAGAAGGAAACTTGTATATGCACAAGATACAACCTTTATGATCAGGACTACAATTCCCTCATCTTCTCCATGTCTTCTTGCATCTCCCCTTTTTATGTTTAGTCTCTATTTTTTATTTAAGCTCTTGCAGCAGGACTATCCTGTTATTGCATACAGCTCATGTGGTGGGATTCTGTTCTGAAACAGCCTTATATCTATCTGCAACACATAAAAACAAAAAAAAGAGCTAGTTCAAAACCCACTCCAGTTCAAATGCAAAGAGCATACTTCCTCAGGGTCCCTATCCAAACATAGTCAGTTACGTATCAGCTTGGAAGCTTCAGAGATGCTTTGTAACAGCAACTCCAGTATGCTATCTGTAGTCTTGTATAGAAGGCACTAAGAAATAAAAATTACGACTTAAAAAATTGTCAGTTATCTCAAGAGCCTTAAACTAAACACGGTCATACACATGAATGCCAGTTTCTCCTCCCACCCCCACCCCACTCTCCCCCCCAATAACAACTGCATTACAAAAGGACTTGTCAAGTGGAACTACAACACACAGCATGCAGTTTCACTACAAAGACAATGAAGCTTTCGTATAAAAACACTCACCAAGTATAAATGAAGTAACTAGAATCAAAGATTTGATTTAACTGAAAGCAAGAGTTATGCTGTGTTCTCCTGATATGCACCTCATACCACACCTTAAGTTCATTGTTATTTGAAAATGAAAGTTCAGTTATATCCCTGTAAATTATATACAAGCTTTGTAACTATTACCTAAAGAACAAAATATTAATGAAGTCACTTTAAATAATAGCCACAAATTCTCCCAAGATGGTAGGAGCATTTTTAAAAGGATAAAGTAATATATTTTGCGTCAGAGTTACACTGGCAATAACTTAATGCTCATATCACTTCTTTTGCAGTCAGTTCTTCTATTTAGCAGAGATTAACGTGAATTTGCATGTAGCTCAACAGACAATGATAACAGCATTTAGCTATCATGAGCCAAAAAGCTAGGATTAAGTCCTCTTCTCTTACTAAAAGCAACTGCAAAAAGCTACTTTCAACTAGGCTGAAATGCCAGAAGACAAAAACATCCTATTTGCTTCATATTCAGCATTTGTAATCTGTATTTCCTCCTCCATGTCCATGAAGTACCAAAAGAATTCACTTACACACGACCACCTGTAGTTAACAGCTTTTATCAAAATTGCCATTCAAAAGAGGGTGCAATATTCCTGTGTCAAACAGACCTTCAGGAGCTTAGGACCAACTGCCATCATGGAAAACCTTTCATAAAGCATAAACACCATATCATGTTCACATCTTTTATTCCGACAGTGCAGAAGGAATAAAAAAGTATATTTAGATATTTTCTTACATACATAGTAATTATTAGGAATGTAACAGTTTTCCATACAGGACTTCACTTGCTCTTTGTTATAGAGAACACTATTTCAGCAATCGGGGTTTGATGGTTTACAGGTTAAAATTATCTTAGTGGGCTTCTGTTTAACAGCCAGTGCTTACAGGCTGGGTATGGGTACTCAAGACACAGACACTCAGAAAGGTGCTTTTGCCTAGGGATTGCAGCCCAGCTGCATTGCCACACTGATGACCAAAGAGGGACTGATATAAATCATTTTATAAATAACAGGAAAAAACTGCAAGTAGAGGTATCTTAAGAGAACTGGAGATTCATAATTTAATGATGACAACACACCCTGGACCACAAGCAGCCCAGATTTTGTGGTTTACAAGATAAGCGACAAAGCTCATCTATTTCCTCATATTTTAAGGCTACAGATTGCTATATACTAATTGGATTTATTATGGGATTTGTGTGCATGAATAAAAACTGCCCCATTTATTTTCATTTTTGTAATAGATTGATTTCCCTACAGGAGAGATGTTATTTTTGAAGCTCAAACTGAAAGACAACAGATAAAAACATCCAAAAAAAGAGTAATACCCATCCCAACAGTACAACTTCATAATGGGTTGGTAAATCTGTACTGTAGGCTGTATTATCTTATATTCTGCTCTGAGAAATTCTCTGTACTAGTTGTCCAGAATATTCACAATAAGATTTTACTCCTTGAAATTACATTTAAAGTGAGTGCCAAAGCAATTAACAGAAAACAACGAAGCTTAACATAGTTTACTGAAGCAAATCTTGAACAAGTTACTTGGGCAGAACCTAGTTTTTCTAGTCATTTTTGCTTATTTGCATGCCAATGCCTACAATATACAAAACCAGACTAGCAAGAGTTAAGCTAAGCGTAGCATGTGAAGTCAAAAACTTGTAAGACCTTCTGGTATCTTCTAATCAAAGGACTACTATTTTGATTCCTCTGAAATAAGCTTTGCACATTGGTGATGTTGTAAAGCCATCTACAAACAGGATAAACAAGATATTATGCTGTCCAATAACACAATTTAAAAATGCAGATACCAATGCTGAAATAAAAATGCTATGTTTGTCCCAAGCAAGTAACCCCAAAACCTGAACAGGTAAGGGAGGGAAATATAACTCCTAGTCACATGGGCACAAAGTCTGGTTTGTACTTTGGTTATTAAAAAGTCTCATCGGTGCTGCACAACTAGTCAAAAGCCAGTTACTCATTAAAACCCCTTTAAATTCTCACAATTTATCAGAAAAGGTTCACA